TGGGCGCGATCCGGGGAAGGATGCCGGGGGGATGCCGGGGAACTCGTTTTAAGCAAACAGTAACGCACTTCGTGGTCTTCGAGTTCCCAGAACTCCATTCCTGGGCATGATTTTGAATGACCGGAGCCAGCTGTAGGCCACTTCGTGTTCTTCGTGTTCCCAGAACACCATTCCCGGGCCACATCTTGAATGTCCGGAGCCGACTGTAGGCCACTTCGTGTTCTTCGTGTTCCCAGAACACCATTCCCAGGCCACATTTTGAATGCCCGGAGCCAACTGTAAGCCACTTCTGTTCTTCGTGTTCCCAGAACACCATCCCCGGCACATTTTGAATGCCAGGAGCCAACTGTAGGCCACTTCGCGTTCTTCGTGTTCCCAGAACATTACTCCTGTACCACATCTTGCTTGCCCGATGTCCCCGTTCGAAAGCAATGACTCGTTCGAAGCAGAATCCTTTGATAGCGGTGTCTCGTTCGGAGATAAATAAGCTACTTGATAGCAGTGTCTCGTTTGTACTATTACTGCTACTAGTCCTTCTACTGCTACTGCTAGTGGCATTACTGCAACTACTGGCATTGCCACTGCGACTGCGACTGGGACTGCCGTTGCCACTGCGACTGCCATTGCGAATGCGATTGCGACTCCGAGTACACCAGAATTCTACAACAGGAATCCTACATGAATCTAAAGGGGAATGCTTCCAGATGTGCTCATACACATCGCTGTTAGGTTGCTTTGCCGGGATAATTCCCTCTCGGAGACGGACAGAGCCAACCCCCTTTCGCAAAACGTGGTTTAGTGAAAACGATCTCGGACCCAAACCTGGCGGGCGCAAGCCTGGAAAATGACGGCCGCGGCGCCCTCTCGACAACCGAAAACGGACAATTCACTAATCGACGTGTCAGGGTGGGGTTCTGCCTACACCCGACTCTCTATTTTCCCCCTGCGTCCCCCCTCCCGCGGATCGGCGTCGCGGTGTGGATCAGCGTGCGGCAGCCCCTCAGCAGCGCTGGGAAGCCCGCTGGCTCCATCAGGTCCGCCTTTAGGGGGCAACGAGGGGGAAACATCGACCTGAAATCGGCGACAAATCTCTGATAGACTGGCGATATATCCCCGACAGTGACACCGCACGCTCCTGGGCGGGGTGGGCTAGCAGGCCCCTTCTCGGCGAGCAGTGGAAGATACGGGGTCGATGCGTCCTCCTCTGAGCCTGGCGCCGTCCCTGCTGGTGATCGGGCCATAACCCTGGCCTTGGGCGGCCGTTCGGGACGATCCAGGCACCCCAGGAACGCTCTCGGCGAGGCGCAGCTGCTGCACGGGCTGGAAGACAGCCCAAGACCGACGGCACGCCAGAAACAAATACACAAACATATCGACCGATAGCGAAAATAACCAGCCTCGCACTGATCCCTATCCCTAAGATGGGCAACCCAACGGCGATGCCAATCTGAGGGATTGGCCCTCAGATCGGACAAACAGAAACCGCCCTAAGCCCACCCCTCTCTAGCGTTGCCCCCTAGCCTCCGCCAGCTCCAGCCGCTCCGCCGCCCCTGGCAGGGCGCGGAGGGGCGCCGTCTTAGCCTGTGCAGGCGTGCCGCTGGGCTGCCGGGCCGCCGCCGCCGTCGCGGCCGCCGTCGCGGCCGTCGACGCAGCCGCCGCCGTCGCCGTCGTCGCCGCCGGCGCGCCGTCATACCTGGCGCCGCGCCACGCTGAGCGAACGTTCCTGACCACGTCGTGAACAAGGCGACAGAGGGGGGCGGATAGGAAGGAGTGGTCATGGGCGGAAGGGATGGGCATGCGGAAGAGAGACGGGGAAAGGGGCGAGATGGGAGGACGCAAGAGGAGGAGGATGAGGATGAGGATAAGGACGAGGAGGAGGAGGAGGAGGAAGAGGATAAGGAGGAAGACCGCACGAATGAAAGGGTAGTGACAGTGATGATGATAGAAATACAGATACCTAGAGATGATGACGAAGGAGATGACGACGAGTATGACGACGATGATGACGATATTTAGGCACCATGCTTGTCTTTCGGCTTCCCACTCGCAAATTCATTCAGACGAAACGTTGTTGACCGTCGGGCTCTTCGCAGCCGCCCTGGCATTTGCCGCCGTTTCCGTCTCCTCCGCATCCGCCCTCTTCTCGAGCACCCCAACCCTTCCTCACCCCTCCTCCTCCTCCTCCTCCTTCTTCTCCTCCTCCCCTCCCCCACTCCTCTCCTGCTCCTCCTGCTCCTCCTGCTCCTCCTCCGTCCCCTTCTCCTTCTCGCACCCCCGAAACGTGTCGTAAGGGCGGCCTGGGCGCTTCGTCTGAGAATGCGTCGCCATGTTTGACCCTGAAGCTGGACGTGTGGAACAGTTTCGCCGATGGAGGGCGGGCCGTTTCCAACATGTGGCTTCGGCCATGGCGCCGAGCACATCCGTCTTAACCGTTTCCGGCAGTTGCAAGCTTGCAAGCGATGGTGTGGCCGTCACCATAGCACCGCGCAAATTGGTCTTA